TCTCTTATGTTTTGCAAGTGTAACTTAGATTACAAGTAACTTATGATAAGTCCCTTAATTTGACCTCAAATCAAAATTGTAATAATGCCATTGTTTCTAAAATGATTTTTCCATTCAATTTGGTAGGTCACTTGCATTGTTTTGGTTATGTATTGAAAATTCCCAAAAATAGGTCACTTTAATACATTAAATCCTCCTTTGTTTTGACCATTTTGACAAGTATGAGCTACAAGCATTTCCAACATCTTATGACCTCCTCACTAGCCTTAAAACATCATTTTGAACAAGTTTGATGTTGAAGATTTTTCCATTTGAAGCTTGGAAATAGGAGTTATGGCCTTATGCTTGAAATGACCTGTAATCTCCAAATGACCAAAATGCCCTTGACTTGTCAAAGCCATAACTTGAGTTCTACAAATCCTATCAAGGACTTCTAGTACTCTCTATAAATTTAAGAAGATAAGGAACAACATTCATGTTGACCAAAAGTTCATAGGAATCATCCTTCTTGGGCAAACATTTGATGCAAGTTGGGTGACTTTCAAGCCCCCAGATTCACATACCTCAGATGACCGGTAACTTGTCAAAGTCATAACTTGAGTTCTACAAATCCTATCAAGGACTTCTAGTACTAAAATTAAAGCTAAGAGCAAGGTCTACAACATTCATGTTAGGGGTAAGATGAGATGACAATCACATCTTGAGCTACACTGCCCTGAAGATAGGGGTCAAACTAGGGGATTTTACACTGCCAAGCCTTAGTAACCCCAGCTTGAAACTTCTCAAACTCTTCAATCATGATGAGTTAACCTTGGAATCATCCTTATAACCTCTCATTGCATCAATCCATGATCACATGGCTCTTGAATTAGGTCTCAACCTTCTTCAAATCATCAGTTGACCTAGGGTTGACCCAGTCAAACCCTAATTACACCACTCATGGCTGGGTCTTCTTAATCTTGCACAATGACCTATCTAGGCCTCATGATGGCTGTCAAGACATCTCATGAGCTCTCTCAAGACCTCAAGTCCACATTCTTGGCTTCAGAATCATCTGAGGAGCTCCCACAACTCTCAAGTTAGGAGGCACACAACTGTGGTTTCAACCACTCTCTCTGAGGATCTTCTGACTTCTCTGACAAAGATATCAACCCTTGAACACTTGAATAACCTTCATAGCTAGCTTCATAGTCTTGTATAGCTCTTGATTGGTAGTCATACCTCTTGATCTCCTGCATACATGTCAATGAAATGCAAATGATAATGCTAATGTGAATGAAATGAAACATAAGCTAGGTAAAGAAGAGTTGGTCAAATTTTGGGGTGCAACAGTTGCCAGCAGAAGGTTCTGGCAACATAGTTATTCAAATGAGTAGTTGAGCAAAAGCCTTGATCAAATATGTACTATATGTCCCTAGAATAAAGTTTAATCTGCTAAGTGTTGGACAACTGGTCAAAAGGGGGTTTTGTGACTGTTTCAAGTTTTGGAGGTTTTTGTGGTTTTGGAGTGAAAATGAAGAATAAGAATGCAATGTGTTTCTTGTTGATATTTGAGAAGGATTCTTGGATTTATTATTGTGTCTTTGCATCTGACATGGTGTGTCATTTATAGAGAGAATGATCTGATCAAGTTGCAATGACTTTGGACAAAGTTGGAAACATGATCCAACGGTTAAAATAACTTTTTCATAAAGTGAACTAGAAGGTACCGATGAGCTATACTAGGGTGGCTTGCAAGTTGAACTTTTTCTTATCAGTACAAGATAATTCCAAACACTTTCAAATCATTTTCCTTGACTTTATAAACAAGCAAAGATCAGAAAATGCTTTTGATGCATGATCAATTGTACACTCACCATGACACATTGGGTTAGACCTTTGTATAATAAACCAAGATCAATTAGGGTAGGATTTAATATCAATGGAATGATTTTGGGATAAGGAATAAGTTCCTAGTAGATCACATACTTAGTGCAAATCTGTCTTGAACCAAAACTGTCTACCATGGCCACTTTGGAAAATCATAACTTCATGCTCAAGTAAGAAATTTTCTTGATCTTGATACCATTGGAAAGATGGGACCAAATACTATAACTTTTATGTTGTTCACTTGGAAAGATTCAGTTTGGATCATGGAGAAAAATGGCTACCACAATTTAAACTTTTCACTGATTTATACTTGAAAAAATTTCTAAGTATTGAACATTTCACTTCTTGAAAAGTCTTAATTTTGAACAACCATAACTTCCAATTGGTAAATGATTTTGAATACATTCTTTCACCAAAATGAAGTATGTCATACCCTCTTTAAAATGAGTCCTCAAGTGTCTCCATGGGTTACTTGAGGAGAAAGTTATGAACTTGGAAAGTAGGGAAAAATCATAGAATTTTCATAACTTAGAAATTTTTTGAAAACCCTAATTCCACCATCTTTGATCTTTTTCTTGATTTCATTGATTACTTATGATAAAATGCAATCATCCATCACATTTTCATGATCCTTGAATTGTGGAGTCCATGTTTGATCAAAAATCTCAAAAGTCAAACTTTGACTTTGAGGAATAGTTGACTTTTCATCAGATGAACTTGAATTCTTCCATTGCTTATGAATCAAAATTCTTGAGTCAATCCAATCATATGAATGGACTAATATGATGTATTTGAGGTCCTTGAAATATTTCTTGAGGTGTAGGATCATGCCATGCTCCAAAAATCAAACTAAGACTGAATTAGGTCAAAAATCCTAATTTGGTGCATTTGATAACTTGGAGCTTGTTGATCTTGATTCAGTGCAATATTGCACTTGATTATTGATGTGAGAGGACTCTTAATCATATTTACTAAATTGGGGCTTTAGAGGTTAGGGATCCCACAATTCTTTGACTGGTCAAATTCTTGATCTTCTTGACATCAAAACCTTAGCTTATGATCAGAGTAAAACCAAAGCACATGTTCTTGTATTTCAAAAGGGGTTAGCAATGCACAAAACCACACATGAAATGATTGATGTTATAAAAAATAATGCAAATGAGATGGGATATTATGGTTAAAAATTAGGGTGTGACATATGTGAGGGTAAGGTTCCTTAGTGCTTTATTTTAATGATGTCAAAACTAGGAAAATTTTGTACTTATGTGCTTTGGACGGTATTACCTCGTCACAGCTTCTATTCATCTCTTTAATATGAGCAAAATGATCCACATACATGAATCTAGGCACATTGGATCATCCCTTATATATAATTTGTGCATTAGATCATTTCTGAATGCATTAGATCGACCCATACAAGGCTTAGGTCAACTCAAAAATTGATAAAAATGTGTTTGTGGCATTCTGGCACCCTTGCGTCAACTTACATGTGTGTGGAGTTCGACGCATACTGATGGAAAACAATATTTTGCTCTCGGGTGCTCTTGCATCGACGCATGACTAAGTTCAGGTCGACGCACAGTTTGAATTTGTGCATAAAATTGCTTTCTGGCATGTTCAGGTCAACTCATAGGTTGTTGAGGTCGACTTCTCGCTCATTTAAGACTATTTTTTTTTGCATCTTGGTAATTCGAAAAGCTGTTATTTTCTATTATATTTTCATGTCATACATACATACACACATACATACACACATACATACATACATACATACATACACACACACACACACACATACGTACATATATATATATATATATATATATACATACATACATACATACATACATACATACATACGTACATATATATATATATATATATATATATATATATATATATATATATATATATATATATATATATATATATATATATATATATATATATATATATATATATATATGCATCATTTTTTGTACATAACCAACAAGAAATGTGAAAATATATATTGAATTGTTCATCATCTTCATTCTCACATTTGCTTTCTTCAACAATCACACATAATCATCTTTTTTTATGATTACTTTGTCGAGGTGATAATGTTCAAACTTAGGAATTGTATATCTGGTTTTGGTTGAGAATTCAGTGGGTTTTTCTTGAATAAAATCTTTGGGGTTATTTCCTCCAAGATCTTGAGGATTTGAGGGGTTTTTACACCGAACTTTGCTTCACAGATTCAGTCGAGTGAAAGGCTTAAGGAACGGCGAATTCGGTCAAGCAAGTAACGGTAACCGGAGGATTGTGTCAAAAGATTTGGGGTCGAACGTCTTGCGATCATAATCAGCGGAGTGAAAGACTTGAAGAATCAAGTGAGTACACCTCTGATTGGGGCACAAAGTCGAGTAGTGAACGAAGGTAGGTATCGATCGATATCCTTTGTGTGTAATCTTATTTTATACCTTGAGTTAAGTCAAGTGAATTTGAGATGAATTGAGCATTAATCATTTGGACATCTAGTCAGTCCAAAACACATTATATGTATTATTCTCTTTGTGTGACAATCCAACATATATATTATTCATAATATTTATACATATAAAGACTCGATATCTCATATCCATGACATATGAGATATGATTATCATACTATTTAGATAGTCTTTATGAATTATTATTGTCCATTAAATAGTAAGACTTGACTACATCATTTTTAGAATGACAACTTTATATTTTATGATGCTTCACAATTAAGTCACATTTAATATTTCATTAAATTAATTAATTATTGTGACTTTATTACTTTCAAAACAAATATAATAATAACCGTAAAAAATAATTATTATGATGACCTTATCCGTGATAATGTACTCCGCCGTCCTTCATAATGCTCATAAACTTAGTCATTCCCTACGTAACATTACATATTTACTTATTCAGACAAATATTTCTATGGCCACAAAATTAGTAATTTGATTTTTAAACAAAAGCGTAAATAAGACAGCCTTACTCTCTGACCTGTTCTCTCGCCATGCATCTCTCGAGCTTTGAAATCTGAAACAGAATTCTGGAACTATGTGCCCTTCAATATTCTTTGGATCTCTCTTCTATTTCTCTTTATGGAGATCTTAGATGGAAACCAAAGTAAGCACCACTGATCACTTCTTGTCATTGTCATTGCATTGCATGCAATATGTTATATATCTATTTCATTCTTTAATTTAGAGACTGATATTTGGTAATTCATTGCAGGATCCTCTAGATATAAAATCTACAAAGAAATTTCCATTAACATTGAGGTTGATAGTTATAGCCATCGCAGTGGTTTGTGCAATATACATATGCTCAATTTGCTTAGAGCTAAAACATATACGCACAGCATCAAAATTGCTAGGTGTTAGTGTGTTCAACCAACCATGTCCTCGTCCTTCCAACGTCCAAGAATGGGAACTTCCATACTTGCATTATCCACAACCCAAAACCTATAACAGGTATAGTTATAGTGTCAATTATATCTCTGTTAATAATGAGTCAGTGCAATTTGTCTGCTATTTCTGTATAATCTTTATTATATATATTATGGTCGATGAATTTGCAGAGAGGAGTGTAGTTGCAATCCTGTTCGATATTTTTGTATTGTATCAATGCAAAGATCTGGGAGTGGATGGTTCGAGACGTTTTTGAACAGTCATATTAACATAAGCTCCAATGGAGAAATATTTTCGGTCAGCAAAAGAAGAGAAAACGTTTCTTTAATTTTGAAGACGATAGATGAAGTTTATAATCTTGATTGGTTAACGAGTGCTTCCAAGAATGAGTGTTCTGCTGCTGTTGGCTTCAAGTGGATGCTTAATCAGGTACGAACCATATATATTAAGGGTGTGTGTCCGTTAACACAGATATTGACATACATTTTTTAGAGGTGTATGTGCTACATAGGTTTTATATATATGTTTTCACATCTCTATATGTTCCTAACTAGGGTTTGATAGAGCATCATAAAGAAATAGTGGAATATTTGGAGGAGAAACAAGTTTCTATGATATTCTTGTTTAGAAGAAATTTGCTTCGGAGAATGGTATCTGTGCTAGCCAATTCTTATGATAAAGATTTCAAACTATTAAATGGAACACACCAGTCTCACGTGCATTCTACATTCGAGGTTTCTAAATTCATAGTTCTTTATTTTTTCATAGAATCTCCATTGATTTCAAAACTGATTCAGTTATGGTTTTGCAGGCAGCGATTCTTGCGAAGTACAAACCACAAATCAATAGCACGTTATTGATTCAAGAGCTAAAGCAAACGGAGGAGATGATTGGAAAAGCGATTGCGTATTTTAAGAACATTCGTCACGTTGTTCTTTACTATGAGGATCTTGTCAACAACCACAATGTAAAACTAAGTGTATGTTTGAATTGACAGTAACATTGAGAAAATTACTACTAAAATAACAGTTTTAATATTTGATGATGCAGAAATTGAAGGATGTTCAAGAATTTCTAAGAGTGCCATACAGAGAACTAGAGAGTCGTCAAGTGAAGATACATACTGCGCCATTATCAAAGCAAATTGAAAACTGGAATGAAGTTCAAAAAGTGCTGAAAGGGACCATGTACGAAAGTTTTCTTAATGACTAATCAAATGGAGGAGATTTTGTCATAAGATCAATAGAGCAAAATCCTATGTAGAACGGGACACCCTAAGTTCGTGTCCGTGTCAGACACCTATACCAACACTTGTGATTATGTTTAAATTATTATTTTTTAAAGTTATTATCGATGTCGTTGTATCATTATCGGAGTCGCTTTTGGCGTGTCCCTGCTTCATTGCCAAAATCTAATGTTCCTTGAATATTGTTTGTACATATGAAGGATTTTCTTTTGCCGATAGGTGATAGGAATGGATCGGATCCCACAAATGATGATGAGAATGTGTTAGTTAATAGAGATATTATTGGACCTAAATAATGGAGGGTATATGTGAGAAAGAATAGGAAACTCCACAAATAAATAGGAGTTAGTTTAGGTATTATTCTCCATATAAATAGGTGTTAGTTTAGGGATTATTCTCCATATAAAGAGGAGTGTATGGGGCAGTAGTTAGGAATTGATTGATTTTCTGTTTTTGATATTAGGGTTTGGGCAGTGAGAGAATTATTTCTCTGACTGAGGAGCAGTAGCTCTGAAATTTATTTTACTTTCACATTCATTAATAAAATACTTTTCTTTATCATATTATATCATACCTCTGTTCTATCAATTGGTCTGACCTACCATTGTTCATGCCCAAAGCTCCTAAGATGGTTGACCGTGTTTCTGCAGTGGAAGAAAGGTTGGAAGGTGTTGAGGCTAGCATTGCTGCGTTACGAGAGTTCATTGGTGCTGAGATTCAACGTGCAATGTCTCATCGTGAAGTGTCGCAGCCAAGCAGTGCGACAATTTCCTCACCGCTGGATGAGTTTCGTTTATCTGTGAAGAAGGTGGAGTTGTCGGCATAATAATTCTTTGGGCAAAACGCGGACTGGTTCGGATTCTGGATCTCAAACCGTCTCAACACGTCCTACCAATTCTACAGCATCTTCTCGCCCAAATTTAGGTGAGAATTCACGCTGTCAATCTCGTGGTGTTCGCCATCTACCAAGTGCAGAGGTTAATGAGCGTCGTGCGAAAGGACTCTATTTTCGTTGCAACGAACGATGGGATCCTCTCCATCAATGTGCAACAAGACAGTTACGATTGATTATCTTGGGGGATGACGAAATTGTTAACGATGCAGGAGAGATTGTGGTGTTGGAGGCTGCGACGGAAGAAGAGCTCACACAAGAGGAATTAGAATGTAAAACCATGGGGTTGTTTGGTGTATCCACTAATCCAAATCAGGTCCGGACGATGAAATTGGAGGGATGTTTACAAGGTACATTAATTCTGGTACTTATTGACAGTGGAGCCACACATAATTTCATATCACCTAAGGTGGTTGAAGCCCTAGGATTGTCTATGGTGCCTTCTAATCCTTTGGGTGTTAAGATAGGAGATGGTCATCGTGTTCTAACTAGGGGTAGATGTAATGGAATTCAGATGAAAGTGGGATCAGTGCAGATTTGCTTTGATGCTTATGTGTTGGAGTTAGGAGGTGTGGATTTGATTTTAGGAGTTGTGTGGCTAGAAACGTTGGGGAAGGTGACCATGGATTGGAAAGAAATGTCTATGGAGTTCAACCATAAAGGCAGTATAGTGAAACTACTTGGTCAGGCTGTAGATGATAAGATGGCTGCTTTCCAAAACATTATCACTCCTTCTCGAATGATAGCAGACTGTGAATGGCCTACCCTGATGGAGGTGTTACGGTCACCGGTGGCGTATGTCTCTGATCAACAGACTAAGGAGTTGGAAGGATTGCTAGAGCATTTTGTTATTGTGTTTAAAGAAATCCAAGGTCTTCCTCCGTCAAAAAACACTAGTCATTCAATTGAACTTTTACAGGGTGCGGGTCCGGTAAGTGTGTGACCTTACAGATATCCTCATTTACACAAGGATGAAATTGAAAAATAGATTTAGAGCCTATTGCAACAAGGGGTGGTTAGAAACAGCACCAGCATTTTCTCTAGTCCCGTCATTTTGGTCAAGAAGAAGGATCAATCTTGGCGTATGTGTGTAGATTATCGTGCACTCAACAAGGTAACAATTCAGGATAAGTATCCTATTCCGGTTGTAGATGAATTGTTAGATGAGTTACATGGCTGTAGTTATTTCTCTAAGCTTGATCTTAAATTCGGTTATCATCAAATTCGTATGAAGGAATAGGATATTCATAAAAATGCTTTTCGGACTCATGAGGGTCACTATGAGTTTTTGGTAATGCTGTTTGGCCTCACCAATGCTCCTGCAACTTTTCAATTGGTGATGAATGCAATTTTCAAGCCCTTTCTAAGGAAGTTTGTCCTGGTTTTTTTTTGATATCCTAGTAGAAAGTAGTAGTTGGGCTGAACATTTACAGCACTTAAAGGTGGCTCTTAATATTCTGAAGCAACATCAGTTTGTGGCAAATCGGAAGAAATGCACCTTCGGTCAGCACCAAGTGGAATATTTGGGCCATGTTATTTCCAAAGCAGGGGTTGTTGTTGATCCTGCCAAGGTCAACAGTGTGTTACAATGGCCTATTCCTAGGAATGTCAAAGGAGTGCAAAGAATCCATCAAAAACTGGCCCCTAGATTTTTCGGTTCCGTATCAAATCCTAAAGAAGCTAGGGCAGGTTGCTTATAAGTTGAAGTTACCACCAACATCTAAAATACATCCTACCTTTCATGTGTTGCAATTGAAGAAAGCGGTGGGCAACTATACTGCTACAACTCGGCTACCTATCAGTTTAGAGTCAGAAAAAGGGGACATTACTCTGGCTAAGGTTGTGTCATGGAGGGACAAATTTGATGGTGGACAACATAAGAGAGAATGGTTGATTCAATGAGAAGGGATGGATGTTAGAGATGCTACCTGGGAAGAGGAACTGTTGCTGAAAAGTCAATTCCCTGATCTGCGCCTTGAAGACAAGGCTAATGTTGTAGGTGGGGGTGATGATAGGAATGGATCGGATCCCACAAATGATGATGGGAATGTGTTAGTTAATAGAGATATTATTGGACCTAAACAATGGAGGGTATATGTGAGTAAGAATAGGAAACTCCACAAATAAATAGGAGTTAGTTTAGCTATTATTCTTCATATAAATAGGAGTTAGTTTAGGGATTATTCTCCATATAAAGAGGAGTGTATGAGGCAGTAGTTAGGCATTGATTGATTTTCTGATAGAACAGAGGTATGATATAATATGATAAAGAAAAGTATTTTATTAATGAATGTGAAAGTAAAATAAATTCCAGAGCTACTGCTCCTCAGTCAGAGAAACAATTCTCTCACTGTCCAAACCCTAATATCAAAAACAGAAAATCAATCAATGCCTAACTACTGCCCCATACACTCCTCCTTATATGGAGAATAATCCATAAACTAACTCCTATTTATATGGAGAATAATACCTAAACTAACTCCTATTTATTTGTGGAGTTTCCTATTCTTTCTCACATATACCCTCCATTGTTTAGGTCCAATAATATCTCTATTAACTAACACGTTCCCATCATCATTTGTGGGATCCGATCCATTCCTATCACTAGGCATAAGATTATTAACTCTAAGCATTTTTGTTTGCAAAATTATCTTCAAATATAGAATGTAACCACTAGATAAATTGGGTTAAAGCATAATGTTTGAGTTAATATTTTCAAACTTTTGAAGATTCATTTCCACCCAAAAATATTATGGTTTCATATTTTTTTAATTCAATCATTTTCACTTTTTTTTATTGAAACAAACTGTTTTTTTTAAGAAGGATGAGTAAAAAAAACACAAAAGAGAAATATTATAAAGTGAAAAGTGGAATTCTTATAAGTGAGGAAAAAAAACAGAGAAATATTATAAATATCTTTTTAAAAATGTTTTGAGTGATATCAAAACTAGAACATTTAGTATTTGTATACATTGAGCCTTTCTCTCTATGTCGAGATGTGCATTTTCATCTTAGGACATTGAAAAACATATTAGAAACATCTTTAAAAGTAAAAAAAATTGAGTTTTATGTGAAAAACATTGTTATGGGTCGACACATACTAAAAATAATTTTAAAAGAAAAGTCGATGCCTTGTTTGGGTCGACACACTAGGCTCTTAGATCGACACAAAACTCGGGTGGGTCGGCATATACCTTCTTAAGGCCGACTCCAGCTGATGCTTTGATAAGTCAATGACCCTACCTTCTATGAGCCGACTCCAACTCATTTGGGGTCAACACTTTTTCCAAATTTGTAATTTTACACACACGCGCGCGCGTGCACACGCACACACACACGCACACATTCATGCATCATTTCTCAATATTGAAACCAAGAACATACAAAGAATTTTCTCATCATCTTTACTCTTTTTTTATGCATACACACAACAATTACGCATATCATTCTTGTTGGGTGTCATCTAGATCTATATTGATAAGGTCTAATTTATGATTGGTGTAATCAAATTGAGTTTAGTATTCTTTAGGGGTTTCATTGATAAAACTATTTAGGATTTTTCCTCCAAGATCAAGAGTGATTTGGGGGTTTTTTCACAAGATTTCGTAACGAGGATTCAACCGAGTGAAAGTTTTAAAGAACGTGGTTCTGTCAAAGAAGTAGTGGTAACCGGATGATCTACTTGAAAATCTTGGGTCACTTGATCTTGCTTAAGATCAAGGGAAGAAGCAAGGATCAACATCAAACTTATGGTTTGAGGGTTTAGATTACTACATTTTCTCTTGTATACAACATTTGTAAGGGTTAATTGAATATCTCAATTCCATTTGGAATTGGGGGTAGACGTACCCGCAGTGAGAACAGTTGAGGAACTGCCTAAAAAAATCCTTGTGTTATCTTCTCTCTCTCTCTCTCTCTCTCTCTCTCTCTCTCTCTCTCTCTCTCACACACACACACACACACACTCTCTCTCACACACACACACACATACACACACACACACACACTTTACAATTTGATAATTTATTTAGTGTGTAATTTCATATACTAAATTTTTTTTTGTGTTGGAGTAAT